TGTGGTCACTTGATTTCAATTATCCAGAGTAAAATTGTTCATCATCCAGAAGATGATAATATACAAACACCTTGGAAGTTTCCTCCTGAAGAAAGCAAGTATCTTAGAATCCTCCATCTTTGCAGAATTTATTAAATAATTGAGAAAGGTTTTTACTTATTTTTCTAATCCAGATTTCTAGCATTTCCAATAGTGCTTAAAGAGAGAGAAAACAATCACTGTGCAGAATTAAAACCGTAGCTGTTGGACTGGGGTAGGGAAATAAACAGCTTTCTGAGTACCTACTGTGTGCTCAGAACTACAATCAACGTGTTCACACTGAGCCTGGATTCCCAGCTGGGGGCATGAGAACAGATGAGGATCAGGCTTAGGGAAGGCAGACAGACTTGGGCTTGAATCCCAGCTCTGCTCCTTCCAAACAGGGTGGCCTTGGGCAAACCGTGCAACCTCTCTGGGCCTCTACTTCCTTATTTGTAAAACAGGGTTTGAACTTAAAAACCAAGATGCCTCCCAGCTCTGACATGCTACACTCCAATATTCCCGAGCCAATTCTCAGCCATGAGAACCCCCACATTCGTAGCATCTGATTCTCCAACTGTTCTATTGTGAATGCTAGCACTAATACACTGAATTGCAATTGCTTATCTGTCTGTGCCTGCCCTGCTAGGCTGCATGCTCTCTGGGGACAAGATTGCCCACCATCCTCTCTACTGCATCCCAGCACCTTGCAGGGAGCCCCAGGTGCAGGTGGAACTCATTCATTCCACAAATCCTTATTAAAGAAGTTATGTGGCACCTTGCTACGTTCTGAAGCTGGAACCGAGTTAGTGTCTCTCCAACCCAGAGCAGCTTCTTCTGATAGGAGAGGTTGCTCACTCTGACCCTGGGGAGATCCTGAAGCCTGGCCTCTGTGACGTCAGAGGACTGTAAAGCACTTGACTGGGGTGCGGGATAGGACTGCACTGAAGGACATCTGTGGATACTGTCCGTGGAGGGGGCGGGGGATGCTAATGCCAGTGAAAACTCAGGAGCCCACGTGCTGCCTGCTGAGCTGCTGGAGTGGGGCTGGGCCTTCACCTGGGGCCTTGTCACAGACTCATCTGTGATCTACTCACAAACCTGACCCCAAATCTCCACGTAGTCACCAGCTAGCAGGTTGAGCCTGCAATGTCTGCCTCCAGGAGCAGGGGCCATGTTCGCTGAATTAAGTTAAAGCTGGGGTTATAGTTTTTACCTTGGATATAAGAGGGGACCGGGAAACTTTTCTCAAGTTAATGAAATTTCAGAATTTCTGCTGAGGTCTGAGTATGGGAAGCGGGCTGGAACTCAGCCATGTCCTGGACAAGAGCAGAAAAACAGGGTTCTCCTTCCTTGGACAGCCTCATTAAAGTGGCTCTGGCCAGGGCCCCACAGGCAAGAGACAGGGGTGGCAGCTGCCCACTCAGGAAGACTCAGATGACCTGTGTTTATTTTTAGCTGTTTTTGTACAGAACCTGAAAAACCTTTGGACTCTAGGCTTATGTCCAAGGTGAGGTGAACAATAAACAGTAAGAAAATCATCAGCCCTTCTCTTGAGAAGACACCGTGTGCCCATCGGGGACTCCTGGTCCCCTAAAACTGTCAGAACCTCATCATTTATAAACAGCTGAGGAGCTGGGCCACCAGGCTCTAGTTCCTGACCTGACACTTGTCACTTACTGCATGACCTTGGGTAAGTCCCTTCCGCTCTCTGAGCCTCAGTTTCCCGAATGATAAAATAAAGGTGGGGGTGGACCAGATAATTTCCAAAACATCACGCAGCTCTGGAAAACCACATCCCATCCTGGATGCTAACCCTGGTCTTGAGCATAAAATAGAGGGAAGAGCCCCTGAAACCCAGCCTTCAGGAAAATGCTTAATTGGCTCATCTGATTTCAGTATTTCCCTTAAAAGCACCATCTAGATCCAGAGGCAACCAACAACCACTAAGTACCCACTATGCACTAAGCTATCTCATTAACTGCCTCTTTATAGCCAGCCCATAAGAAAACTGTCAGTGTCCCTACCCCACAGATGACAGGCAAGACAGTACACTCATCCAAGGCACAGGCTGTGTGGTCACAAAGGCGTGGGGTCCGCTTCCTACCTGAGGGTCCTTAAGCAAGTTACTTCCTTACTCCCACAAGCTTCGGTTTCCTCATCTGGAACAGAGATAATGATTGCCCCTGTCTCCTGGGTTTGTGCCACGATCTGAATGGAGTGGGCATGTGAAGCACTCAATGATGATTAACCATTACTATTACGAGCATACGATTGCTGCCATCATTACCTTGTCTACTAGAGACGAGAACAAGAAGGCTCAGGCAGAATGTGTGAAAGGACAGCACTCGAAATACCACAATTGTCTAAAATTTGATCAAGTCCAAAGACAGGTAAGATGAGAACAGCTCTGGGTCAGTGTTGAGGTACAAAGTCTTCATGTAACTGAGCCCAGGCTCCTGAACTTCTTACCCTCTGGGTCTCCATCTATAACACAGAGGTAATACCTCCCCAGGTTGTGGGATCCTGTGTGCTAATGTAGATGAAAAAACTCCTGGCAGTGTGCAGTAAGCAGAAGGCTGTGGATGAATGTTCTCTCCCATGCCTTCCCATATGCCTCTTGTGAAATCTCCAAGAAAGCAACCTGGTCCTTCCTTGAAACCCAGTCTCTGCATTAGAATTCTCGACAGACAGGCTTGATGGCCCAGTCAATGGCAAGTGGCCCTATTGTGCATGGGACTCAGCTTCCTCCTGAGGGCTGAGTGGAACCAAATTTTGCTAGGGCCCATATCCTGGGCCCAAGAACTCAGGGCAACATGTGCATGTGGATGACCCAAGCACATGCATGCACTAACACCTTGTCCAACGGCCCTCAAACCCCACTGCACACAACTGCCACCCAGCCAAGCCCACTGGCCTTGGCACTGACTCCCAGGAAAGTTGTAATCTTGATAGAAACAATCATAGTATCAACCATGACACCTCCTCCCTTCCCTTTACAGTTCACAAAGCACTCACACATACATTAACTGGGTAGGGTAGAGGCTACGCTTTATTCATCTTTAGATATCCACTGAATAATGCTGGGTATAGATACCCAGAAACTACTTCTCATATGAATATGTTTTATCTTTATAACAAGATTTTTTTTAAGATCTACCTATTATTCAGCACTTGCCATTAATTACCCACCCTGTAAGACTGGAATATGCATCCTTGCATCTCATCCTGGCAACCACCCCATGAGACAAGCCTCTTATCAATCCCCATTTTGCAGAGGAGGAAACGGAGGCTCAGAGAAGTTAAGCGACGTGCTAAGGTCACAGCTACTGAGTGATAGACCTGAGATGTGAATCCTGATTCCAGACTCTGGTTCTTCACCCCTCTAAGCCATTCTCCTCCTCTTTAGCCAGAAGAGGCAGCAAGAAGGGGAACAGGAGCAAAGTGTATTTAGTCTAAAGAAGTATGTCAATAATGTACTGACTTTTAGATTTGGAAAAACAGAAAAATCCTATTGCTTTCATCGATACAAACTAGAGAAAGCAAAGATCAGCAAAGTCATCTTGGCCGACAGGACATGAGTCTCTGTTCTTTCTCTGATCCCCCAGGCACATTTATGATTCCTTTCTAGTACATCCTCAGCTCCCTTAGAGCCCACAGCATGGGGGCTTGTTGGTATCTGTCTTCTGCTCTCCTAACTTCCCTCCAGCAGGTCCACCTACCTGTCAAACACTTACCACTGTGGGGACTGAGGGAACCATCTTTTGTAAAAGGACCCAGAGTTGTTAAGTTCCCATTTCCATGGAGGTTTGACCTCCAGCCCCTGACCCAGCCAATGGCTTAGAATAAAGGTGATGAGGAAATGCCCACCGGAAACAAGCAGGCAAGGAGTGACATGGTCAGGGTGAACCAGGAGTAAGTAAATCTTCGTGTCCTCTTTCCCACAAGAAAAAATGGAATTTCACAAATGAGGACACTAGTGGGACTGACATTCAGCCAGAGGGTCAAGGCAATAGGGAATGGTGGAGACTGTAGCTAAGCAGAGTGTCCCTAGAAGGGGGTAGCTGCTGCTCAGCTCAGCCAAATGCTGCTGTGTAGGCATGCAGGCCCAGCATCGCCAAAACTTTCAACTTTCCAAAGGATACCAGATTCATATTTCCTTTTTCAACATGAACTCTCTGGATTTTTAAATGTTGGCAACTAATTCTTTACTTTCTTTTCCTAAATAAAACACATGAGTGGGCTGGACTTGTCCATGAGCTACACATACAACCTCTGTATTGATCCTCGTGGCACAGGTGGCTGTGCTAAAGACGTCCCCCTGCTCCCCTAGGTTTCGAGCCTCCCTGGCAGGTAAGTGAGGCCATGCCTTAGGTGCTGGCCAGATGCCTGTGGTAACCTCCTGACCAGGCCCGTCGAGAGTCGTTTGCCTCTCCCATTTCTCTTCCCCGAGGAGACAGAGGCCCTGGAGGCTACGTGGTACAGATAGCACAGCAAGGCAACCAGATGGAAGCATCTGCCCTTCCCTCCACAGACTCCAGGTGGGTGAGGTCTCGGGGCCTGTCAGTGTAGGCAGCCAGCATCGCCTGCCCTCACGCACACCTGGAGCACATATCTTCATTACAAAAACCACACGGTAGTAGTTTAGCGCTTCCAGTGTTCAAAGCACTTTACCTCCCCTTTCCTTGCACAGCTCTCCGTAAGACAGGACAGGATTCGTTATCTCACAGATGAGCGACCTGAGGCTCCGAAGGCAGAACTGAATAGTCCTGACATGTGCGGCAAGTAAGTGGTACACTGGGATTCTAGCTCTGGGCTCCTGAGCGGACTCCCAGTCCAGCGCTCCTCCTACCACCCCCACAGAAGAGCTGACTTTTGCAATGTGAACTCCCTGGCACTCTCTGGGTCACCTGTGATCTCATACAAGGACAGCTCATGTCCTCCCCTGCCCGTGGCTAGTTGCTTCAAGATGCACCTCTTACCTTTCCTGTGGACTTGGTCCCCTTCCAGATGCAGAAGTAGCAGATGGTCCAGGCTGCCAGGAGACACAAGGCCAGCTCCCAGCGGAGGTTCCCAATGTGCTCGATCCCATCTGAGATGGCCAAGACCCGGCGCCTGCAGAGGGGAGTAGGGAGAGTCATGGGTGCTGGAGACCCACCCTGACCCCACCCCCGGCAAAGCTAGTGCTATAGAGGGGCAGGGATGGGCCACCCACTCATTCACCTGCCCTCCACCATTTCCCGAGCACTTCCTCTGAGACAAACCCAGAGCCAGCTCTGGGAATCCCAGAAAAGAACAAGACCCAGGCCTCTGTCGTCATGGATTCACTCATGGGGGAAAAGACAGGCCAGTTAGCAGATGGTTTACAATAAGCATGACAAGGGCTATAACAGAGGAAGTTGTAGGGACTTTGGAAAGACCAAGAAGCATCTAGCCTATCTCGAGGTTGCCAGCAGACTGCAGGACTATCCGTACACATTCCAGGTCCCTCCCTGAGCTGGAGCAATTATACATCCCTGGCCTACTGAACTAAACAGCGGACATTGAACTTGCTTTGGCCAATGGCACCTGTGTGACTTTCAGAGCCAGGTGGTGTGGTTCGACGCCTTCCCTTTTCCCTACTGTTGTTGTCGTGACAGGGTATGTATCAAGATGAAGCCTCTAGAAGCCTGAGTTCCCGAGTGACTACATGAGCCTTTCTGCTACCCCTTGTCAAAGATGTTGTGTGAGCAAGAAAGCAACTTTGTTGCTCTAAGCTACTGAGATCTTTGGAGGTGTTTGTTATCGTGGCAAAAAACAACCAGTCCTGACTGACACAGGGGGTCAGGGAAAGCGTTCTGGAAGAAGTGATATTTGAGCTACACTGTGAAGGATGATGGAATTTAGTCAGGAGAGAGAGGGAGTGAAGGTGGTTATAGATCGAGGGAATAGCCAGAACACAGGGCATGGGATACCTGGGGAAAGCTGGAGCACAGGGATCAGAAGGGAAAAGCAGAAAAGGTAAACAGAGGAGTGTCCCTGGGAGCCTTGAACAGCATGCAGAGAGTAGGGACGTCCCAGAGGGCCCAGGCCACAGGAGGGGGAGGACCCCTGGCTACACTGAGCCAATGCTTCCAGCCACACTCTTCCTTCAGAACCCATCAATTCTTCAGGGTTGACACAGGCCTGGCTCCCAGAGCCCACGCCTGGGGTTTGTGTTTCTTTAAAGTCAAACTCGCCACGCTCCATATTGTGCAGAACCATGGCACCAACACAAACCCCCTCCAAACTCACTCCACGAACCCCATTCTGGCTGCCAAACCACCCCTGCTGGACCACGCCAGTTGCCTCAGCACTCTGGGAACGTCCTTTGAGCAAGCAGCTCCCATCCCACCAAGCATGAAAGCCTCCCTCAGTGTCTGTCTCCCTGGGAATCTGCTCAGGCCTGATTCTGCATTAATTACCCAGTGACACCAATTAGCACTGGTCTACAGGCTCCCTCCGGCCCCAGTCCCTGCTGGAGAAATCAGGCAGGCCCCCAAACAAAATTGGGCTGTGTGTGGCTATGGATTTACTTGAAAGGAAACCAGCCTTCAGACCTATAGCCAGAAGTGGGAATATCCACTTAAAAACACATTTATTGAGCACCTACTATGTCCCAGGCACTATATTAATACTGCAGATAAAAAGATAAGCATGTATGGCTTTTGCCCTCTACTAGTATAAGTTGGACAACAACAACAACAAAAAAAGTCCAAGTTATTTAAGGAAGGAGAAAGCCACATAGTTGTAATAGGTTTTTTTTCTTTTTAAAGATTTATTTTAGAGAGAGAGGAGCAGAAGGGGCAGAGGGAGAGGAGCAGAGAATCTCAAGCAGGCTCTGTGCTCAGCTTAGTCTCACAACCCTGAGATCACGACTTGAGCAGAAACCAAGTCCGACACTTAACCGACTCCCCACGCAGGTGCCCAGCAACAGGTTTTTTGTATGTTTTGTTCATTTCTTATGTCTTAGTAGTCTCTGGCTTTAATTCCTTTAAGAACTACAGGCCATTAAATAAAACCTTCAAGAGTATCTATTATCATAACAGAGTAGTGGGCCTCAGAGCATGGTCTTTATGGAGTGCTTGCCAAAAATACAAAAATTCCTGCACCTCGTCCCAGACCCACTGAGCCTGAATCTTGCTGTATGACTCCCTGGCAGCTGCATTTTGCCACATTTCCCCGAGGACTGCTTATGCATGATAAGGCTTCTACACTACAGAAGTAGAGTTTCCTAGCTATGAAGGAATGACCTACAAACTCCACCTGAATAGTATTTTTGAAGAGGACCTGGGGATGGTGTCTGGTATCCTTTGAGAAGCTAGTGAAGGACTGGACTTTCTTCCCGCCAAAATACTGTGATGTACCCACTCACTCCCAGAATTCCGCAGGGAAACCTCAGGGTGCTCGTCAAGTACCTTGTTTCTAGACTAAGAGTCTCCTAGCCGACATATATCTACCACCTTGCAAACTGCCCCCAACAGGAGCCTGAATGCCCAGCAGCTGGTGAATGAGAAGGGTGAAGCCCACACAGGAAAGAAAGCGGGCCAGTGCAGATGGTGTGCTTTTCCCAGTCCACCCCAGGCTCTGAATTTTTCATTAAAGAAACACTTACATGAGGTCCCTACCTAGCACAGGTACACATACACACATGCCTTCTTGTTGATGTAGTTGTTTTCTGAACTGGAATTTGAAAACCGGAAATGGCACGGGGGTGGAGGGACAGCGGAGGGGGCAGATCAGCCAGGAGGGAGCTGGCTCAGGTCCCCTCTCTTCCACATTTTGCATGCTGCAAACTTTTGAGTCATGCAGCCTGCCTCGGCGCCCTCTCGCTTAATTGAACAATCTAATTTCCAGAATGGGAAGCAGATTACTAAAAGCTACGCAGGATGAATTGCTCTTTTGTTCCACCAGACACTATTTGAAAACATCCTCAAACTATTCTCCTTAGGTTTTACCAGAGCTGACTCTAACTAGCAATGGACCTTGGGTTTCTAAAGATAGGGGGCTTGGGGGCAGGTTCTCAGCCTGAGGGCTGTGGATTGTTTTGAAACCCACAAGGGCAGCCTTTGAGAGCCAGGGGCTGGGGCACTCAACTCTGGAGACTTGGAGAAGGCACAGCTCTTCCTGGGAAAAAGCTTTCTTAATGACCCTCCCCCATGAAGTGCGGGGACAGGAGAAAGGTCTGAATAAGGAAGAGTTTGCTGCCAACACCCTGGCAAAAAAAGGACCAAGGAACAGACCTCCCAACACTGTCCAGGGAGCAGGAAATGTTGAAGACTAGACGGAACTCTTTGGAGACATTTACTCAAGTTATACTGGACACCTACTATGAGCCAGGAAGGGAAGCAGATCCTTCATGAGGCATATTTTTCAGGACATAAGTGTAGAATATTTCTGGAGATTGCTATCCGGAGACTAAAATCTCAGAACTTGGAGGTATGATGCCTCTGCTTCCCCAGCCCTTGGCACATATAGAGATGGGCTGGGTTCAAATCGAGCTCTGCTCCTTACCGGCTGTGTGACCTTGGGTAAGGGACATCACTTCTCTGAGTCTCAGCTTCTTCATCTGTAAAATGGGAATGACAATACTTCCCTTTGATAGGTTGTCAAGCATCCTCTAACCCTCCCCACAATCCTTGAGGTTAAGTACAATCACCATCATTTCAAAGGTGGGGAAACTGAGGTGCAGAGGGGTTAAGTAACTTTCCCAAAGTCACACCAGGAGCAAGCAACAGCACTGGGATTTGAACCCAGGGCTCCTGGCTCCAAAGCCCACACCTTCAGCCTCAATACTAGCTCCTAGATTCCCCTGTAACATTCCCCTGTAAAATTACCACCTTCCTCTCTTCTTCATAAATTAAAGCTTTGGTAAATGCATGCCCCAAAGCTATATTACATGTCTTTGCATATGACATAAAGGTAGTGCACATGTCCTTCATACATTTATTAATTTATTCAAGTAGCACTTCTCAAGGTGTCTTCAGTGTGCCAGTGTTACAGCTGGGGATCTGTAAAGAGCTCATGTTCTAATGGGGAAAGCAGACAAGAAAACAGAACTGGGCACAGAGAGGGTCAGGACGGAGAAAAGCAGGGACCCTCACTGGGGATCTGGCCAGTAACAAGATGTGGGGGTGGGACTGAGCCAGGGGGTCCTGGAGGGTAGGAGGAGAATTCGCAAAGAAAAGGCAGCGGGAGCATTTGGGGCAGAAAGGCCACCAGGTGCAAAAGGCTGGAATGAAGGCTCAGTGAGGCCAGGGAAGGGCACAGCATGTTGGGTCAGTGTAGCAGAAGCCAGGGTGAGAGGTAGGGGTGAAGACAAGGCTGGAGTGTGAGCAAAGCCTAGACTATGAGCCTTGCTGAGGAGCTGGGGCTTCATCCTGAGGGCAACAGAAGCCTAGTAGAATCTTAAATAGGAGTGAGACCCCGTCTGATACATATTTTGGAAAACTCTCTTTGGCTGCATTGGGAAGAATGGACAGTAAGGGTGGAATGGAGCAGGGCTGCTTTAGTTTGGACACTAAAGGGGGAGGGTCTGGACCAAGATGGGGGAATGGCCCTGGAAGGGAACAAGTGGGCTTGAAAACCGCACAGGCACAAAGTGACTGCCAGGGGGTGGCGGGCAGCAGGGAAGAGGGAGGTCTCAGCTGACATCCAGCTGCATACTTGGATGGATGGGGGGTCATTAGCTGAGCAGGACTGAATCATCAAGCAGGTTGGAGGAGGAGGTGGTAAAGAATCAATCTTTTAGACAGGATGATTTTGAGGGTCTGTGGGACACCCAGGAAGCTGCAATGCCCAGAGGCAACTGGGGCTCTGGCTGTAAAGCCCAGAAAAAAGATGCAGGGAGGAGATTCAGACCTGAGCCATCAGGGTGTGCTGGGAGAGCAGGAGGCTGCCTGGGGAGAGCTGGAGGAGAAAGAGGGAGAGGATGACCTGCCACAGAGCTTCCAGAACCCCAACATTTACAGGGCAGAGAGAGGAAGGGAGGAGCCCTTGCAGCAGACAGACAGGTGTGAGCAGAAAGGCAGGAGAGCAACAGGAGAAGGTGGTCTCCCTGGAGGCAGAGGGCATTCCAGAAGGAGAAGCAGCCCATCTGCCAAGTGCTGCCGGGCAGCCTGGTGGGAGGGAGGGTGTTGCGGGATTTGCCACCAGAAGGGGTGGGTGAGGCAGGGAGAGCAGATCCCTGTGGGACAGACTTCAGGCTGCTGCAGGTGGG